TCAAAGGACATCATCATCATCATCGCCACTCACAATTATGACAAATTTGGAATTTTAGAAAATAAAAAAATCTATATTTGTTTTAGACAATTGTTTTTTGGACAAAACGCTGTGGCCCCCTTTTACTTGCAGCCCTATTTGGCTTAGCAGTAAATCCGGCACTGATTTTAAACCTACAAAAACATAATGTTAATAAAGTTTAATGATTAACGAAAAAGTATCATTGTTTCAGTGGTATTCTCCTGCTTTTTTATGACACAAAACCCTTTACTTTTAATAATAATTGTAATTTAAATAATTAAATATTTATAATTTAAATATATGCTTACTAAGAACAATAGTATGGCTGGTGTTATGAATATTCCCAAGAAACTGCCAACCACTGAAATGAATATTGCAGCAGCTTCACTGCCACCAACTGCCTTGGTTAGGATAACAGCCGATGAAACGGGGGGTGGCATACAACTCACAGTTGCCAGTCTGTGAAAAAGAAAAGAATGAGTGAAACACACTTATCAAGCAACTGGTTTTGATATTAGTCAGGTCGCGGAGGTGGCTTCTATGTGCGCCCAATGGATCTACTGCAATATAGCATTTAGTCCCAATTTTATAAATACCAACTTGTTTGATTTAGAATTTTTGTAATGTTTTCCTTACGGTTATTAAAAACTATAAAATATTTGTTAATTTATAATTTTTATTTTAACAATGCCTTTTAGTGCTCTTGAAAAATCATACTTAGGGCCTATAATAAATTATAAGCTCCACACAATGAATTCTGTAGAACGTAACAAATATTTCCAAAACATTTTTTATTGTTTAGAAATATATGATGTTTATTGCAATATATAACATAAAATCAAGATAATTCCTAAACATTGCAAGTGACCATCGCATGCACAAAATTGAGTTTATACGACTTGTAAACTGAATACATTTAAATATTAATAATCATTGGAGCCATTTATAAGAGTTGGTCTTATTTTATTCTACTTAGTTTGTTGGGTTGATTCTCCTTAAAAGTAAGTTTTTTTTAATTAAAAACCTGGAGATATTGTGGTTTTTTATCGTAGCCTGCATAACAAATTAGGTATCCATCCATGTCTACTGATAAACCAAGACAGTTGAATGCATCTAGTCTGCTCAGAAGCTTTAGTCCATCACAAGGCTAACTATCCTATTCACACATTTCATCATAGTAGGCCTACAGGGTGTAGTGATTTAGAACAACCTTTCCAAATCTGACTTAACTTTTATTTAACCTGATATAACTCTAGCATAATTTACCAGACACACTAGCTCATTGTTAACCTCTTGCTAAAATATTTAGAAGATATGTGTGTAAGCGTAATACCGGTACTGTTATTTAATGTTAAGTAGGCTACTCACCCTTTCAATATCCACTCGTTGACACCAAAAACTCTCCGTAAAATACCATTGACAAATAGGACTAGAGTTGGAATGAATATAAAAGTAAATGTTAGAATAAAAATATGAACTTTCACTTTGGTGGCAGCAAAGAAAAGATCATTAAAACTTAAAGTCATTCCACTGATAAAAAATATCAAAGCAATAGCTCCATATTTCACTGTCCATTCTGGTTTCAGTGGTCCTGAAACGAGAATATTAATTATTAAAACAGGATTTATTAGGGTTAAGAACCATGTAATGTTCTATTGCTATTGCAATATCTACCAAATACTTCTAGGACAGATATAAGAGAAATAAGACAAATAACAACAACTAAGTTTTTATAGTAATACATATATTGTATTACTATAAATATATGATTGTTAAAATCATTTAAATATTAATAGAAACATAATTTTTCCATTCAGTTTATTCACAATCTATGTATTCAGTTAACTAATACTTCATGTTCCTATGGCTTCATTTACTCTCATTGTACGTTATTTATTCGTATACTTTGTTATATTGATGTAGGTACTTTGACTATTAATTAATAAATGTAGTACCGGTACCGTACCTAGTAATATGCATTCATTAGGGATTTTAATCATCTTCTCATTTGTTATCTATTGTGGTCCTGGTCCCAATGGACACAGTAATTAGAGATCACTGTACTTGATCTAAAAGGAATGTAAAGCAATAACACAAATTGAAATAATAAAACATTTCTAATGCTTGGTAACCACCAAAGCCTTGGGCAAGACAGAGTCTACGCTTATTCGCGTGCGCAGAATCCTGCCTCGAACATGCGTAATCGACGAACTACGATATAGGTACAACTTTAAATAATTATATTAAACGTGACTGGTAATGAAATAGAGTGTTATTGTGTTGCTCTACACCTTCCAGTGTTCGTATAGTCTCGGGATTCCTAATATCGGCTATCGCCAGATATTGTTCGTGGGGAATCGTGTACTAAATGTTTCGGTGGTTGGAGTACGAATGACAACCCGGGGCGCTTCTTGAGCGGTTCTTTCCTACCGCCCCTGGCGTTCAAATTCATATATATATGTGTCCGTTGTACCGATTCGTCGTATAAAACAACGAATTATCGTGTAGCAGACGCAACAAATCTAGTCAGCTGATCAGATACCCACAATTCTATCTAACCACACAAGTGGAAGGGGTAAGAACCCAGCCGCCAGCAACGAGTCTGTCTGTCTGTCCCGTGCCTTCCTTGTAGCTAGTCGGTAAAGTTTCGGATCGTGCAAATTAAATTCATTTCGCGGTGTTGGTCGGACAATCTTTATTTTCTAAAAATCGTTTAGCCTATATCCCGAAGGGATATAATTGCAACGCGAGTGGAAAATAGAAACAGTTTTTTTGCAAAACAAGTTTTAAAAGTTCGTTTTTACCGATCAACACAATCCGCCATTTGAAAATTTCACGTTCGTCACACGAGTTCAAATCGATCGCGTTTTTATCGGAAAACCGTCTAGTTACAATTCCCCATCCCTATCCCTGTATTGTTGTCATTGTTGTTAATTGTAATTGTGTTTTGTGTTATGTGTCATCGTTGTGATCTCCTGGCTGGGTCAAAAATGCTCCGAGGTGAAATGAGATGTCGGTTTGTCCTTGCGGCCGTCGCGGATAATTTTTTTCTGCTAGGGGGCATTTTGTACCGATTCGTCGGTACAAAATCGAATCGGTACACCGTTAACACGATAACTCTAGCAAAAATGATCCGATTTTGATGAATTTGGTATAAACGTGTAAACCTTACATTTATTCGAACAAATTCGCGAACCAGCTTGATCGGACCATGGGAACAGGGGTTTATGGGGGGTTTTATGGGGTAACAATTTTTTTTCTCATTTTTGGCCCTAAAAACATAAAATTTAGCAATTTCTTTCCAAATAATCTTGTAGAGCTTAAAAAAAACAAATAATTTAGCATATATTGAAGCGTTATTATGCGCCTAATGGCTACGGAGAAAATTTAAAAAATGTAAATTTCAAATTCCCTTGTTATTCTTATGGAAAATAGTAAACTGTTGTTGTTTGCTTGTAGGCTATTTTTATGTACCGGTATAAACATACTTTGATCAAATCTGGAAAATCCATTTATTTCTTACTGAACTATTAACATTTTACAAAAACACTTTTATACCCTCCCCGTTGCAGCAAACCTAGAGTACTCGTTAAACTAATGCTATTTAAATAGGGAATAAATGTCATATTATTAACCCTAGACTGGCAGTCATTTTATTCACCAGTGAATAAAATATTATATTATATACCATACCATCTGACAAATTTTTTTCGTCATGTAGGAAATAATAGAATGCATCAACAGAAAATAAAATGATTCTGTAGGCTAGAATAGGAAATAAAAGATCTTTTATCCAATAAGATCTTTCAGCCGATAATCGACCAGCGCCACTGAAAACTCGTGTTTTAGTGGTAAAAAATCGACCAGCGCCAGATAGAGTGATTAAGGAGACATTTTAGTGTAAATCCAATTAGGCAAATGGAAATTTGCTTAGTCCGCAGGTTTGCTGTGACGGGGATATTTAAATCATCACTTCTTTGCTGTTTGATCTAGCAATCTTGCAACTTAGGCTGTTATAGAGGGGGCCCAATAAGCTAGAGCACAGAAAACATACTACTATAACCCAGAATGCCAACCGCATGGTAAAAAGCGTTAAGTACTTTGAGAGAGCTGAGTGCATAGCAAAGCTGGTGGCGCTGCCTACGAATTGACAGGCAAAGCTCTCTCAAAGTACTTAACACTTTTTACCATGCTATTATCTAGCTCAGTGGTAGACTGGTTGAGCCAAAGCGGAGAGCGGCAGGGGCAAAGAGAGTCAAATTACGGTCATTAAACAAATGTGTGGTTAAGATAGTTTTGCCTCAAATAAGTTAGGTACAATAAATAGACTGCTTGTACGATAATTTACGCTAATCAATCTGGCAACACTGACAAGGTTCCTTGAAAAGTTCTTGAAATCTTACCTCCAGTGGCACCAATGGAAGGGACAATATCAGCCAAAACTATGGAAAAAAGTAGCCCAAACAAGAACCAATATTTCTTCAACAGATCAACAAATTTGGGCTTAGCCATCAAAGACTGCACTTATACTATCTGAAACAAAATTTGGGAGCTATGATTAGCCTGTTGAATATTTGTTTATTAATCAATTTGTAATGTGGTGCATCAGGATTTAGGTTATACAACTACTGAAGATAGCATTATAAATTTAGTCAGATAAAAAGATGTCATACCCATGCCTACCATTTAAACTTCACCAGGTTAGTTGTCCTTAGATTCGTTGACATAGCAGCTGAACAACCTTCAATTAAATAAATTAATCACGCTTCGCTTTCTTTTTGTTTATTGTTATCGTAGAACAGCTAGATTAGCTTTAGCTTTAGCTAGCTAGAAGGACTCGACTAGGAACAGAAACTTGGAGTAGGATAGGACTGGAGCTGGAGCACTGGTGGACTGTTTTGTTTTGTTTTCTTTTTCTTTTGTTTGTAGATTTGCGAGCGTTTCGGGGCAGGAATTGGACTAGCCTACTGCGCATGCGCAAACCGTAAAATTGAGCTGATCTCAAATGAACGACTCTCACACAATTGAAGCAAAAGAGTTGTTTACTGTTCTCGTTCTGTCGTTCTGTCATCATCTGTCTGCCCCTGCCGTGCCCCAGCGATTGTAGTTTTCAAAGTCTTTAAGCTGTGTTTTTTTTTTTTTTTTAATAATTTGAGGTTTTATCGAAGTATCGTATATGTTTTGAAGTCGGATTTAAGATTTAAGTGTATAAAAGAGTGTTTATTGTTATGCGTTCTACCGTGCCATCCCCGTGCACCCTTGTAAGTTAAAGTTAGTTTTTATACTGTAGGCCTAGTCTTTAAAAGTGTTTGTTGTGTTTTGTTCCAAGTGTTGTCCAAATAAAACAAGGATACAGTTTCTTAACTGGGCTACACTAATAACGATTGAAACTATCGATTCGATTAGTAAACTGCGATTTTTTCACCATCAACAAGTTAGGTTAGGTTATGACAGATTAATTTTATAATAGACATTATATTTTAAGATATCGATTATTAATCAAGATTTCAATTCAATAGTTCCAATCGATATTAGCGTAGCCCAGTTAAGAAACTGTTGTACCCCTGTAGGGTCACACAGTTAGGACTACAGTACCGACATTTCCCATAAACATTGCAAAAGGACAAATCTTATAATTATATAACTGTCTAGGCTGTGTGGTAAAAGGCACTTAAAAATAAGTTACCAAGCGGTGTAACTTTTGTATTAGAAACCCTTGGGTGAGTTGTATAAAGGCCTACTAATCTTTAGGTTGACACATTTAAACCTATAGCCTGTAAACCATTATCTGTTTGGAAAAAAGTCTATGCCGTAGACTAAATATGGTCCTTAAGCCAATTAAATGTGTAGGCTAGGCTAACTAACTAACATTTAAATAACTTAGGCCTTGGCTAGGCTTTGCATTACCCTGGCGTAGGACGACCGTGAAGACAGCTATCGCCAGCTGTCGACCCTACATTTTTTCCCCTCCCACAACGACTTCCCCTCTTCTCCCTCTCGACCAATCAGATACCGCCTAGCTTAGAGTAGTACAGTCGATGTTCAAAAAAGAGACCTCGCATATGCAACTACCTACTACGGATAATTTACAGATTTCCAAACCAAAACTAATTCGCTATACTTATTTATTAAGTAGTGAATATACTTAAATAATATATGTATTACGACAAAGTATACTAGTGGAAAATTATATAGTTATTTACTTTTATCGCAATATACATATATTACCTAAATAATGTATAAACTCGTTTCTATCTAAAGCTACTGTTTGAAATATAAAAGTAACTATAAAAACTCAGTATAAATAAATTTTTTATTTCAAAATCTCAATATACACTATATTATTATATATTATAATTATATTAATTATATACATTAATTATATACATATATATAGAGGTAGGTCTATATGTAAGCTTTAATTGTAAATATGTAGGTAAATTGTAACCTAAAAGTGTACATATGTTATAACAAAATAAAAAGTGGTGGAAAATAGGTCAAAGTTCCCCTAATCTCTTCCATACCGCTTATGCTGAAAAATCCAGTCAGCCTTCGACGGGTTATACAATTATGTTCCTTAACAATTCCCAAACTTTTTATTGCTGAAATTAGTTAAATTACATGTAACCTTAAGGTGGACATATGTGATAAGACAATAAAAGTGGTGGAAAATAGGTTAAAGTTCTCCTAACCATTTCCATACCGCGTACTCTGAAAAATCCAGTCAACTTTCGACGGGTTATGAAATTATGTTCCTTATCAATACCCAAACTTTTTATTGCTGAAATTAGTTTAGGTACATGTAACCTAAAAGTGTACATATGTTATAACAAAATAAAAGTGGTGGAAAATAGGTTAAAGTTCCCCTAACCATTTACTTACCATTCAATCTGTAGAACTCACTCAACTTTCGACGGGTAATAAAATAATCTTCCTTATCAATTCCCAAACTTTTTATTGCTGAAATTAGTTGAGGTACATGTAACCTAAAAGTGTACATATGTTATAACAAAATAAAAGTGGTGGAAAATAGGTTAAAGTTCCCCTAACCATTTACTTACCATTCAATCTGTAGAACTCACTCAACTTTCGACGGGTAATAAAATAATGTTCCTTATCAATTCCCAAACTTTTTATTGCTGAAATTAGTTGAGGTACATGTAACCTAAAAGTGTACATATGTTATAACAAAATAAAAGTGGTGGAAAATAGGTTAAAGTTACCCTAATCATTTATATACCGCTCACTCTGGAAAATCGAGAAAACATTCGACGGATAATAAAATTATGTTACATATCAATTCCCAAACTTTTTATTGCTGAAATTACTAGAGGTACATGTAACCTTAAAGTGGACATATGTTAAAAGAAAATAAAAGTGGTGGAAAATAGGTTAAAGTTCCCCTAACCATTTACTTATTATTCAATCTGTAGAACTCACTCAACTTTCGACGGGTAATAAAATAATGTTCCTTATCAATTCCCAAACTTTTTATTGCTGAAATTAGTTAAGGTACATGTAACCTAAAAGTGTACATATGTTATAACAAATTAAAGGTGGTGGAAAATAGGTTAAAGTTACCCTAACCATTTCCATACAACGTACGCTGAAAAATCTAGTCAACTTTCGACGGATAATAAAATTATGTTTCTATTTTCCACCACTTTTATTTTGTTATAACATATGTACACTTTTAGATTACATGTACCTCAAATAATTTCAGCAATAAAAAGTTTGGGAATTGATAAGGAACATTATTTTATTACCCGTCGAATGTCGAGTGAGTTCTACAGATTGAGTGGTAAGTAAATGGTTAGGGGAACTTTAACCTAATTTCCACCATTTTTATTTTCTTTTAACATGTGTCCACTTTAAGGTTACATTTACCTCTAGTAATTTCAGCAATAAAAAGTTTGGGAATTGATAAGGAACATAATTTTATTATCCGTCGAAGGTTGTCTGTACGCTAAGCGCCAATTCGTTAGCTGGACTTCTAGCTCAAAATAACTAACATTTTATTTATATATTTTTTTAATTTTTTATGCATTCAAGTATTTCCCCCATTTAAATCGTTAATATGTGCTGGAAAACGCTACATTATGTGTTATATTGTTAAAAAAAGGTTTTAAAATTTTTAATAAATTTGAGGTCTATTTCCGTTTTATTAGACTGTACACAGAATGGGTGGTGGGGGTATGGAATTCTCCGCCCGCCGTTAGCTGGCGATAGCTGTCTTCACGATCGTTGGCGTAGGGCAAGGCTAGGTTCCGCTATCGATAGACAGGCCTACACTATAGTACCCTATTAGGTTATTATATTGGGTCTCTCACTCTTTGGCAGTTTCCTGTTAAAGGGAACATTCATTATTATCGATGATTTCTTTTCGATATAAGCTTATCAATATTTTTGTTTTACTTCATGATTCATAACTTATTCCTTCTGTTATCTTCAAACACATTTAAATTATCTACTAATTTAGAAGTAGGCCGAACCTTGTTTAGGCAAACATTAAATAGCCTATTTTATTGGATTATAAAATCAAACTAAGCTAATCTAACCTAAGTTATAACATAACTAACCAAACTTGCTGTATAGGCTATGTTACCGTTTCAAAATTCCGTTTAATAACAGAAAAGGAATGGAGAATGGCTGTTTAACGGACAGAAAAATAAAATTTTGATATTCAAAAAGAAATTATCTACATATACTGTAATAAATGTTCCCTTTAACAGGAAAGTACCCATTCTTTACATTATACCATAGACAAAAAGAATTAAATATAGACCGTCAGCTGTGCTGCGGTTACCATAGGTTCTGGCGCACACCGCTTGAGCACCACGGTAGTTACGGCGTACGCGCTACGTAAACTACAGCGGTGTGCGCCGGAACCTATGGTAACCATGGCAACCGCAGCACGGCTGGTAGTCTGTATATAATTCTTTTTGTCTATGATTATACTTGCTACTCATACACACATATAGTCTCTAACTTAATAAGAATGCTGTAACCTTTTGAAAGAGGCATTTTCTCACGCTGTTGTAATAGTCAGAATATTAAAACATCGTTTGTTTAATTTAAATAGCGGTTTGTTTGAAGTTATTTAGAGTAACATGGCCATGAGAAACATGCTATTTGAAACTCCAACGACAGGAAAATATATGTTAAGTTTTATAAACGATTAAATTGTAGGCTATTAATTTGTAGCGGCCAAAAACTGTTGTCCCGTTACCTACTTTTAGGAATAAACAATCTGTCCTCTACTTAGTGATGTAAAAATCATTATACAGGTTGTTACGGTCATCTTACTAATTATAATATTATTATTAAGATCAAAATAACTAGGCCTACAATTTATTCTTTAGTTGGGGTAATTTTGATGAAACAAATAACAATACATTTACAGTCTTCATTTTATGCTAGAATGTTTTACTATAAACAATGTAGGCTATTAAGAACTGCACTAAAGTCCTTTAGACAACCTGCAATATCAGTACCTTCAATACCTTTAATAACTTATATATTGGGTGAAATATCTGTTCGTTATACAAATAGTATTTTATATTATTCCCTGCGATATAAATTCCGATTTTTGTTTTGAGTATTAAAGTTACTGTATCGTGATATGAATATTTAAAGCCATAGATTCTTTTCAAATAGACTTTCACACTGTGCTGTGGTGGTTAAACAAGGTTAGTTCAGTTTGGTTTAGTTTATGTTAATAAAAACCAGATAACACCTAAATAAATAGCCTACAAATTGTTCCAATAGTATCATCATTGGGTTGGGTTAGTGTTGTACAGTTTTCTATCAAAACTGATTGTCAAAAGCGCCAAATTATACCTAGTCGTGTCATTTCATGAGTAACTTAGCTTATAGAAAAAAGCTAAACGTTTTGTTAATGATACCTTGTTTGTTTATAAACTATAGGCCTACCACTTTCAAAAGAACCTGCGCAGAACCATGGCTGTCTCGCGCATGTAGGGGTGAAGGGTGATGGTGGGGAAGGGCCTGGAGCAGTGGTGGGGATAAGTCGTTGGGGCGAGGTGTCTTTCCCCACCACTCTGACTCTCCTGCTGTCCTGCATGCTCGACTCATACAGGTGCGTGGTTTTTTCTATGTGGTAGGCCTATAAGCTAACATAACCTAAACGCCGCAATGGTCTGTAAAAGATTGGCGGGTGGTCCTCTTTTTAAAAAGACCATAGGCTAACAGATTAATAAGCAGGCCTATTTCTTAATCAATATATTTTATATAAATTTGAAGCTATTGTCAGTAGGCCTATTAATTTATAGAAACTGAAAATTTGATAGGATAGTATAATACATTAAAGTTTCTCTGTAGTGGGGTGGGATAGCTGAAAAATATTTCACATCTGGCAACCAACGCGCCCCTTTAGATTCAGATAGTACATGGGTAGACGAGCCCAAAAAGCCCGGGACACAAATTTTTCGGCCACTCTATGGGTGTTGATGACGTAATCAAGATGGCCGCCAAAATTGTGTGACACGATTCTACATTTCCCTATATAACTCGAGTTCATATTTTAAAAGTGCCCTACATATTTAGTGATTATTAATCCTGAAAAAATTACCTTTCCGATGGTGTATTTTACTTCATTGTTTAGATTCATAATACTACGAACATTTATAGTTTTATTAAATATTTTGTTTTTGATTTAGATTTTTTTTAAATCATTTTGCTAAGTGTCATAGATTCCGTTACACGTAGCTGAAAACGTCTTACATACACTTTTTTGTCAGAATATTACCTTTCTAACGGTATATATAACTTATATTTTAATACAAAAACAATGCTGAAAATTTGCCATAAAAATGTAGTGGTACACAGTGAGTCGTTATGACAACAATGCAATTTATATGGGGTCCTAAAAGTAATAGCGCTATTTAGAGCTATTTAACTTTCACTTTCGTTTTAAAATTAGAGACAATAAAATTAAGTACAATAATTGAACACCCCCGCCGAAGCAAACCTGCCGACTAAGCGAATTTCCATTTGCCTGGATTGATTTTCAATTATTAATCTATTAAATTAACACTTATGTTTAACGAGTACCTAGGTTAGCTGCTACAGGGAAACAAATAAAGTGTGTTTTTTTATTAAAATATCAATAGCTTAGTATGAAATAAATAAAAACGCCAAGTTTGATCAAAATATATCCATAAACAAGCAAACTACAACATATTATAATATTCTCCATAAGAATAACATGGGAATTTTTTATTAACATTTTTTTGATTTTTCTACGTAACCAATTATTGTACAAATACACTTTGATATACTAAATTATTTGTTTTTTTAAGCTCTTTAAAAAGGTATAGAGAAAAGTTAATAAATTTTGTGTTTTAGGGGTAAAAAATGAGAAAACCCCATTTTTATCCCATTAAACCCCCCGTTAAACCCCATTCCCATGGTCTGATCATGCTGGATCGCGAACTCATTAAAGTTTATCCCGCCTTACACCTTCAAACCAAATTTTATCAAAATCGGACAAAAATTACTCAAGTTATCCCGTTTACGGACGTTTTATATATATATATATATATATATATATATATATTTGAACGAATGGTGTTTTTGGCCTCTGGAGACATCAAATTAAAAAATCAAATCGGTCCCGGGTCCATGTCTTACCGTGCCACCTACGGTAATAGCTATTTCGAAATAGGGAAATTCGCTAAAATTAAGTACAAGAAATAAATACAAAATAGTGTAGCTTACGATACAATATTATTTTTATTATATATTTAAATTCATTAATGGCCTATACTATGCCAAATGCACTAATGTTAACCATAAAATTCAAATTACATAATACCTTGAACTGACATATGCAACATTATCAAAATGTTTTGTATAAATTCACTTGTGATCACCGATCACTGACGGAGCACTGTTCTTCACATACACAAAGTTTCGTGCATCTCATTCCTATCCTAACACATTTACAAGATGTGCATCGCTTGCGGCAAGTACATGAGGTAAGTTGTACACAGTTATATATATATATAAAACGTCCGTAAACGGGATAACTTGAGTAATTTTTGTCCGATTTTGATAAAATTTGGTTTGAAGGTGTAAGGCGGGATAAACTTTAATGAGTTCGCGAACCAGCATGATCAGACCATGGGAATGGGGTTTAACGGGGGGTTTAATGGGATAAAAATGGGGTTTTCTCATTTTTTACCCCTAAAACACAAAATTTATTAACTTTTCTCTATACCTTTTTAAAGAGCTTAAAAAAACAAATAATTTAGTATATCAAAGTGTATTTGTACAATAATTGGTTACGTAGAAAAATCAAAAAAATGTTAATAAAAAATTCCCATGTTATTCTTATGGAGAATATTATAATATGTTGTAGTTTGCTTGTTTATGGATATATTTTGATCAAAATTGGCGTTTTTATTTATTTCATACTAAGCTATTGATATTTTAATAAAAAAACACACTTTATTAGTTTCCCTGTAGCAGCTAACCTAGGTACTCGTTAAACATAAGTGTTAATTTAATAGATTAATAATTGAAAATCAATCCAGGCAAATGGAAATTCGCTTAGTCGGCAGGTTTGCTTCGGCGGGGGTGTTTAATTATTGTACTTAATTTTATTGTCTCTAATTTTAAAACGAAAGTGAAAGTTAAATAGCTCTAAATAGCGCTATTACTTTTAGGACCCCATATAAATTGCATTGTTGTCATAACGACTCACTGTGTACCACTACATTTTTATGGCAAATTTTCAGCATTGTTTTTGTATTAAAATATAAGTTATATATACCGTTAGAAAGGTAATATTCTGACAAAAAAGTGTATGTAAGACGTTTTCAGCTACGTGTAACGGAATCCATGACACTTAGCAAAATGATTAAAAAAAATCTAAATCAAAAACAAAATATTTAATAAAACTATAAATATTCGTAGTATTATGAATCTAAACAATGAAGTAAAATACACCATCGGAAAGGTAATTTTTTCAGGATTAATAATCACTAAAAATGTAGGGCACTTTTAAAATATGAACTCGAGTTATATAGGGAAATGTAGAATCGTGTCACACAACTTTGGCGGCCATCTTAATTACGTCATCAACACCCATAGAGTGGCCGAAAAATTTGTGTCCCGGGCTTTTTGGACTCGTCTATCCATGTACTATCTGAATCCAAAGGAGCGCGTTGGTTGCCAGATGTGAAATATTTTGATGTAATTTGTTGCTAACCCACCCCACTACTGCCGAACTTTACCCCATAACATTGCTGTTGCAGTGCAATGTAATTTTCAGAATCAGTCTTCTTCGCTTTGTATTTAGGCTAAGTAAAATTTATTTTCCTTGCTGCATATTAGGGAACATTATTACTATGTTTAATAGCCATGATAAGGTACAGTAGACTCCCTCTTATTTGGACACCTTTTAACCTGACATCGGTTAAACCAGACAACACTCGGTGGAAATTACATCTCTTAAGGCCTATTTTGCTTGGAGCGACTGTAGCGATAGTCGCACAGCGATTATCACTCAGCTACTATAGCTGACAAGGCGGCCGTTTTGCTTAGAGCGTTTGATTTTCGATCGCACAGCGATTTTTCATAGTTAGTTAAATATCAGCACTCACAATGGTGAAGTCATGAGTGTGAATTGTAATTCATTAAAGCGTCTCCTCGGTGAGGATTTAGGAGACGAGGCTCCACTCGACCCTAGTGGAAGTATCAATGGACGATCGATTGAAAATACATAGTGATACTTAGGATTAGGGACGGATACGTATCACTAGGACATAAATAGAAAACTGTAGTGATATCAATGAAAAAATATTATTTATATAAATAAAAAAAAATAGTGATATCAATAAGAGTACATGAATGTCGGAAAATAAAACCTGGAGTCTAAATAAAAATTGTAAGAAATATTCACAAAAACTGACACAGTATTAACGCCCACACTACGTAAATAACACATAACAACTTGGAACAGTCAAGCATTTTATATTTAATAAATTTGAATAGATGTAAATTATCTTAACAAATTTAAACAAGTCGCCTGTTTCTACTAAAATTTAATTTAGAAAATGAAATTAATGTGTAATGAAATATAACCAAAACAGTAGAATCGTAACAGCACATGAATAGAAAAATTAATGTGAACAATAAAGAAAATTATGGTTAATTTAACCCCTATTATGTGCCTACTGAGTGAATTGCACTGTTTTGAGGTTCTGCGCATCAGTCGCGGCGCGATTATCGCTCAGACTGGTCCCTGGGGCAGTGGTCCGCGACTGTAGCTAGCGACTCTTGCGATAGTCGCTCCAAGCAAAACAGGACAACGCAAACTCCGTCAGAGCAGTGCCCGGCTACTATCGCGGAGCGATTATCGCCACGCGTCTATCACTGCAATCGCTCCAAGCAAAATAGGCCTTTAACCGGGCAATTTTTATCAGCACATCGGTTTAACCGGACTAGGTCGGCAGGAAGTGGGAGGTAAGCGTTACTGAAACGACTGTTCTTGTGTTAAGGATATGAGAACAGTGATTATGCTCTACTACATTTTAGTCAAATACTGTATATACAGTATACATTTAAACGGTCAGTTTTAATGAGTTTGTGGGACGTCAGTTTAACGAGAAAACCCATTATCCGGACTGACCTCGGTCCCGAGAGTCTGGATAAGAGGAAGTCTATTGTAGGCTACTGTACATTTTACTATGTTATAGTGACACGAATAAAAAAATAAAAGCCAAAACTTCATGCAATAACCCCATAGTACCACATACAATATGTTTACTAGTGTGAACTACGCTGTAGGCTTCACATTGAATGTGTTGCCCATGTTTATTAAATTAACCTAAAACAGAGTTGTTTTGTTACAGAGTCATTGATTGAGGTGCTGGTGAACTGATTGAAGACTTAAAAATGTTTTGTCATTAGTGTGAGGTGTGATAGTACGGACTGTTGTGATAAATTACCACTGTTTATGATTTACTTTATATGTTTTAAAATAAATGTTCTACATAAACTATTAAAATTGAATGATCATTTACAATGCCACTATTTCCAGCTGTAATAATTTTTTTTATACTTCTTTTAATTATTTTTTACTTTGTTTCTAAACATAAGTTCTGATGTAGTCAATATTTGCATAATATGCACTTTCAAAAATATAAAATAGTAAACACAACAGCTTTTTATATACCATTGTTATTATTTATTGGCGTTTTTGTATTGCAATAAGAATAAGAATAAGAAAGTTTATTGCCATTGACCAAGTTGTACATCGTTAAGTTGCATGCGTAGTTGCAGATGCATTGGTCTGTTTAAATGTATAAAGGAACTAAAATAAAATCTGAAAATTCCAGACTAACATAAAGATTATTCAAACAAAGGAGGTTGAAGTATGTAAACAATTCCAAAAACTCTTAAGTTATTTTGAATTTGGTAAGTTTAATTTGATACCAAATATCGTTGACCTTATTTCCTATATTTTCTCTGGATGGTATTTCAATTTATTTTATAGTTGCAATGATTCTGCTCCACTCAAATTCCAGGGCATGGACTGCAATCAATATCTGCCAACATCAAATTCGAGAAAATCTAAAAATTTGTTAACTCACTTGTATATACCGTATAACATTTAAATACAACATGAAAAATAATAGGATTTCCTGGAATTTTTCTAAAATGTTTGAGATCATTCTCAACATCCCAGGCAATTTCCTTGAATATACTTGGATCATTCATAAAAAATATTCAAAGAAAATTTTTATATTGCCTAGAAATCTGAAGAACATTCTCAGAATATTCTGGAAAAGTACTCTGAAATATTCATGGTATCTGAACATATTAAGTTTAAATTATTAATTTTGTCAAATATCACAAAATAACTTGAAAAATACAAAAAACAATGTTTTTAGGGTAAAAAATGGGAAAACTCAATTTTTAGTCCATTCCCATAGTTAGTATTAAAGTACCGAATAGGTACTTAAAATGCAACGGATGATGGGGGTGACAGAGATGACTGACTCTTGCTCAAGTCGTCAATCGTCATGGAACGGAGGTAGCTAACAGCAGAACAGAACTGAAACTGAACTGAACTAGTAAGTTATGACTCCTGAGTCGACTCGTTGAAGACCAAATACAACTGAATTGATTCTTTCTGGCGCATGCGCAGTAGGCTAGTCCAATTCCTGCCCTGAAACGCTCGCGTAGATTTCGGTAGGAAATTATTAAAATCTTAGTTGAGAACGAGGGCAATACTCTTAACCATGAAGCTGCGTAGTTTACTTTTTCAAACTCACCCTTTAGGTTGTTTTATTGGTAACCTTTTAGTCCCATAAAGTCTAAAAAAAAACTCCCCCATATAAATGCTTTAAAACAAAAGAATCAAGAATTTTTATTTCCACAATATGCAGGGTTACATTACTGGAAACGTCAATACAACTAAAGCTAAAATAAAAACTAAAATAAGAGAATAGTACAAGGTAATGTAAAATAAATTCCTGAAACTCTCCATGCAGTGAAAAAGAAAATAGAACACAACACTCGGTTAAAATCTAAGAAAAAACTACTTACATATTCCTCTTTCAAATCGACTAAGGTGTATTTTTAATCTATAATCTATAGTATTACATACTTAACTAATAATACTGCACTAAAAACACATTTTAATACCTTCCCTGTAGCATAAAACCTAAGTACTCATTTAACCTAAATTAAATTATATAAAAAAATGGAATTAATCAGACATGTTAAAGGGAAATATTTTATTAAAAAGCAAATCAGGGAAATGGAAATGCGTTTGGTAGGTTTGCTACGGCAGGGATATTTATAGTCGTTATAGTATCTATTATTCTAAACCCTGTGGAAAAACTAATTATCGGCACTTATTATTAGATATACGTCATTATCTGAAATTTTTAGGTGTTATGGTATTAGATACTATAAGAAGATTCTAGTTTAAAAGCTATGCTGCAAGAAATGTATATAGCAAATGTATAGCCTTATTTTTGTACTCTATGGACGTTTATATGTTGTTCTTGTTCATTTAGCTATTGCTTTTTTTACTGTTTTTCAGGGGGGTTTAGACTTTTTTCAGTTTTTTCCTACTTTACTTTTTTTTTATTGCTATTGCTCCACTGCACTAAAAACACATTTTAATACCTTCCCTGTAGCATAAAACCTAAGTACTCATTTAACCTAAATTAAATTATATAAAAACATGGAATTAATCAGACATGTTAAAGGGAAATATTTTATTAAAAAGCAAATCAGGGAAATGGAAATGCGTTTGGTAGGTTTGCTACGGCAGGGATATTTATAGTCGTTATAGTATCTATTATTCTAAACCCTGTGGAAAAACTAATTATCGGCACTTATTATTAGATATACGTCATTATCTGAAATTTTTAGGTGTTATGGTATTAGATACTATAAGAAGATTCTAGTTTAAAAGCTATGCTGCAAGAAATGTATATAGCAAATATATAGCCTTATTTTTGTACTCTATGGACGTTTATATGTTGTTCTTGTTCATTTAGCTATTGCTTTTTTTACTGTTTTTCAGGGGGGTTTAGACTTTTTTCAGTTTTTCCTACTTTACTTTTTTTTTATTGCTATTGCTCCACTGCACTAAAAACACATTTTAATACCTTCCCTGTAGCATAAAACCTAAGTACTCATTTAACCTAAATTAAATTATATAAAAAAATGGAATTAATCAGACATGTTAAAGGGAAATATTTTATTAAAAAGCAAATCAGGGAAATGGAAATGCGTTTGGTAGGTTTGCTACGGCAGGGATATTTATAGTCGTTATAGTATCTATTATTCTAAACCCTGTGGAAAAACTAATTATCGGCACTTATTATTAGATATACGTCATTATCTGAAATTTTTAGGTGTTATGGTATTAGATACTATAAGAAGATTCTAGTTTAAAAGCTATGCTGCAAGAAATGTATATAGCAAATGTATAGCCTTATTTTTGTACTCTATGGACGTTTATATGTTGTTCTTGTTCATTTAGCTATTGCTTTTTTTACTGTTTTTCAGGGGGGTTTAGACTTTTTTCAGTTTTTTCCTACTTTACTTTTTTTTTATTGCTATTGCTGTTATGCTGTATTTTGGGAGGTTGTAGCGTAGCAGCTATAGTTTTTGTTTTTAGTTCAACTTTGTTATTATGTTTATTATTGTTGTATTTTGAACATAAAATTAGGCTAAATCGGGGTTTGAACACGATTTAATTCGTATATTGTATCTGCATACAACTAAACCTAAATTTCTCATATTCAAGTACAAAGGAATGATTGCTATGTTTATTTTCATCAACGAGCTTAGGCCCATACCTTGGAAGATTTTACAAATCTGTTTCAAAATATAATTGGTTGATTTTATAGATAAACTATCGACACATAATGGACGATTTCCTATTTTGCAGTAGGTCCTAACTTAAAGAATAACAGTACACTGTAATACAAGAGAAAATGACAGTAACATTTAATGTATGTCTTGTGTTCATCATGGCCTTTGCCTTTTCAAGTTGTCAAGAACATGTTGGCTACGATTCAACCAGTTATAAAATGATCCATGGTGCATCAGGATCAATGGACTCCAAATCCAATTCTACAGGAAAAAGCAGTAGCAACTCTATACTACTTAAATTGGCCAGAAAGTTTGCAACCCGTTTGAAGGATTTGGCAGATGAAGAGTTGGGTGTTAGGATCATCAAGGTAGGCTTATAGTAGTTTATTGTAATGAAGGGAGGTTTCTAACTTAATGCACGAAGTTGTCCTACATTATCTTAGGTTACTTGAATGCAGTTGAGAGTTGATTAGGCCTACCTACCTATTCAAAACTAGGCCTAACTTATTAGGCCTAGGGATTGACACGTTCAGTGCGGTTGCGCGATGGCCAGCCGCGGCTGGTGGCGGGAACAGCTAATGTGCTATGGGGTTGAACATAAAACATGCGGTGAATGTGGTGTGCGAAAACATTAAAATTTTGTTTTCTTCATAAGTTACTGAGAGTCGTACCCTATTGTAGCATGTACTGCGTTACAGTCGTGAACGTAGGCTAGTATTATTCTAACTCAAAAGATAGCAGCTTTAAACAAAACTCCTTAAAGGCCCTCAATATTGCCAAATGGAGGGAAAAGAATTGTCGGATCCAAAAAGAATTATAATGGATTGAATGATAAAACTAGCACAATAAGCACCACTCAAAACAAAATCTCACGGCAATGGCTTTGAACCTCTCACTATCAGCTTTAAAGATGGAGGGCTACTTACGTAGTTTAACTTAGGCCGCCGGGCACGCCAGTCACGCACTAGGTACGTTAAATAACGTAGGCCGCACTCAACGTGTTAAGGGGGTTCGGTCAAAAGATTTTTAGGATAGTGGTCCATTGATGGGTTTTTTTGTGTAAAAATAAGGCAAAATTAAGGGTTTGCCGACTAACTTTGCCAAATTTTTACACAAAAACGTTATATTTCAGTTACTTTTTGTCCGATCTTTTTTATTTTGGTAATGTTTGATAGGGAATTAAAATTTCTAAGAAAAAGTATTCTAGAATTTTTTTCATAGAACCAACTTAGCTGTTTTTGAGCTATTTAAGTTAGAAAAATTCAAATGGCCGCCATTTTGAAATTTACAATTGGAACAACTTTATTAGGCCTACTTTTTTCTATTATAGGTCTTGTGTATTTTAACATGGTCACCAAATTTTATAATCATCGAACAAAAAACTTCACAGATAGGTAGGCCTACCTAAAAATATTTTTGTATAAAAAAACAAAATGGCGGAGAACTGGGTAAAAATATGCATTTTCAGACATTACCTTTTTTTACCTTTTACCTTTTAATTACCTCCTCCTTGACCGAGACCAGCAAAGCCGGATAGGTTGCGTCAATTTTCTTTTTTTTCTATTTACACTATATACATAAAAACTTCCATAGATTGAAGTATGAACTGTATTTAAAAGTACTTTGGCGGTGGATGATTTTGCCGCAGGCTTATTGACTTAAGAGTTTTTCATTAAAAAAGTCTTGTAGGCTGTAGTATGGTTTCTCCCTCAA